TTATTCTCCACGTCTGATTGAAAAAAGAAGCCATCGTACTCATGATAATTGAAGCGAGATTCTGGCGCTGCCGCCACACTCCACTCCGGGGATTAAACCCCGGTCCGATGCCGACTCACACCACCAAGCCTTCCATCCTTCCGGGTCAGTTGATTAGTATCAGACTCGTCTAGGAGGATAAAAGCACTGACTTGTACATCGGCTATCAACTACTAGTCATTGTAAGGACCACAAACGAATTCAAAAGGCCACTACAGCTCCGGGAAAGACCATTATGGGCCGCATCCCTCACCTCACACAAAAGAGTTCATCAACACCTTTGCAAGCTCCATCCTTGGTTCCATTGGGCAATTTCGTGCAGTTGAATGAATCCTTGCGAACATTCGGAATACACGACATTCTTTAAGTTCAATTTAACCATTCAAGGCTACAGTGATGTTTGAGCATCGAGCAGCTGATCGCTTAGTGTTTGTTTTGTGTCCCAAGAGATTAATCAGTACGGGTTCTTCTGTTACGATGATCTTTAAGCCTCACAACTTCAGCACCTATGATCAAGTTCACTGATGCTATGGAAATGCGGTAGGTCTTTACCGACGACTTTCGATGGAGTTCAGGTACCTGACGACTAGCATCGTGCGTTCCACAGCGTCTCAGACGGTCTGCTCTCGTCCTTCCTACTTAGTGCCCAGTCGTTTGGGCTGGGCACATATTTAAGTGGAGTTGAGGCGGATTCGATCCCAACTTGTAGGTTCATGATCCCCTTTTTCAAAATTTTAATTCTGGTCGCGTAGAACATTCAAAATAACTCCTTTCAAATTGAATGGTCAAGTCATTACGCATTTTGGCTTTCTCAGAGGTAGGGTGACAAGGAGTTTGGAAATCTGAATACGTTTAGGAACCTTAGACACTTAGACTATCTAGAACCAACTCGGAGCTGGAAGTATTGAGAGCCAGGAATGAGAGGAAGTTGCCAACTCCACGAATGCAGATCCCAGTGTTGGATAGATGGCGCTACTTGCTCCCACTCGGAGACTCAGCGGCGAATGGCTCCCGACATATACTATGTTCCCACACATTTCAAATCTTTTTCGTTCAATCGCGCTCCGACCTAGTGTCTGACTGAGGTGAACCGTTTCGCATGTTGGTATTGCTATGAACCCAGACCATTGTCGGATGCAGTAGGAATGACTCGACTGGGTAGCTCAAAGAGATGCGGCTGGGCAGATTTAATTTACGAACAATGGACATACTCTGCTGGTCTCCACTACTCTCTGACCATCCTACAGAGGTAACTTTACGATTCTAATGATACTGCTCAGAAAAGAAACCTAGGGTTGTCACACATTTCTGATGTAGCAGATTTAATTTACGAACAATGGACATACTCTGCTGGTCTCCACTACTCTGTGACCATCCTACAGCGGTAACTTCACGATACTAATGATACTGCCCACAAAAGAAGCCTACGGTTGTCACACATTTCTGATGTATCACAACAACTGGCATCTCCACTGGATTACGTACAGTACATCATGTGAAGGACTCTGGAAAACAGACTTGTTCCCATAGTGCTCCCCACCTACACTGATTATATGTGATCAACGTGTAATTACATAGTGTAGGGTGGATAGCACTATACAAAAAATTCTAAGAAATTCAAGGCCATCACCGGTAAGTATCAAGATTTACAGGATAGTTATTATCGACCATTATGAATAACATCTCATGACAATCCCATGCTATATGGAATTTCCCTGAGAAAAGTACCACACACCTCAATCGGAAACCACTCGGAGTTCTCAGTGGTCTGACGCCATGATCGTCGCCATATGTGCTGTCATACCAGCTTCACTGCTTACTGTTTCGCTTCTCCTTCCCAAGTGATGAGCTCCAGAGTGCCCACCTCCAAACTTCGGAACAAATCCTAGAGATGGCTGCTCATGTGGTTGCTCTGGTTGCTCATCTGGGTGCCTCCGACCTAAGCGAAAATGTTCCATGTGTTCAATGCTTGTCCAATATATGAACATATGCTAAGAGATGTTAATGAATCAAATGAACTCTCAATCAAAAACATGTAGATAGATAGTTATATTCTGTGTTTACGGGGTGTGGAGTTCCCTTGAGAACGTTGAAGATACTGTGCTGCAACCTGCAGCTCGATTTGGATATCTGCTGCTGTTAATTTGCCATTCTGCAGAGTTGTTTTCTTTAATAGCAGCAATAATAAACTGCAGCAAGCCATTCCGAAAATCACTTTGAACCTGTTCATTGTATTTAATTATATATTTATGTTTCTTCACTAACCTCCTTCGTCAACAATGCTATTCTCTTGGGGTTCAGGTACCCCTTATAAGTCGGCTTAAGGTGGTACCTTGCATGGGGCATAATGGGTTATGGATTTGTTCCTGTAGAACAGTCTCGGACCTGCCTTCCAAGTTGTTGAATATGCTAAGGAAGGAGAGAACTTTGAATGCCACAGAAGAGAGGCTTGGCTCGATTCCAGCTCTGACATCTGGTGGCGGTTCCACATTCCTTTGCACCGTCCCTCTTGATCCAGAGGGAATAGGCTTTCCTTCCCTTGTTTGATATGTTGCGTTAAAAAGACAATGGGGCACATCATGCAGTAGGGACACGTAGTAACTGATGTGACAACTTGATAAGTTCAAAAAAAGGTTGCAGGCAAGGGTAGTGCTTCAGCCTCTTCCCCCTGGCTTTCCAAACTGGAATGGGAAGTTAACTCGACTACTTGGTATGGCTCTGACTAGTGTTGACCACCTAATCTCTCCTTGAATAGTCGACTAATGTAAACTGTTTTCATGGTTTCTCGCTGATACATGATTATTTCGAAGAATCTCGTCCTAACACAACTTCATTCTCTGTAAACAGCGTGAAGGTGGGGAGGAAGCGAGGTATGAACGCCCGATAATTGTTGGCTTTTGCGGAAATTAGTTATTCAAGCAGCAAGCGCTCATCTCTCATTTACTGAACTCACTGAAAGAGATGTCTGCCGAGCTATGAGTTATTTAATGAGTGCTCAGGAACATCGACATGCCTTTGATCAAAAACATTTTCATTTTTTTCCTATCATCCCTTTCTTCCTTGCATGGTATCGCCAGCGTTCAATGTTAGACATAAAGAAAGTTCATTCCGTCTCTTTATTTTGTATCTCCACTTCATTTCGCCTTCTTTCGGTCCCATCCTGATGGTCACCTCTCGATTTCAGGGACCTTGAAGAACTGGGGGCTCCTGTTACTCCCTCTACCCAGTGATTTAGAGAAAAAAAAGCTCCGTTGTTTCCTGCTGTGTCGCCCACTTAGACTGTGTAGGTAATAGCTTGAGTAATAGTTGACTGACATTAGAACTTGGGCTCAAACCTGAACGTCAGAATGTTCCTCCTCTTCCCTCCCCAGCTAATTAATAATCTAGTTGCTTGTGAATTGAAAACACTGAGACAATCTGTTTTGTTGTGTTAATAACAGTTTTCAGACGAAGTTTGTCACACGGTTGTAATCATGTAGTGCTGAATAACGAGAAAAGAACCCTTTCCAATAAGCAATTAGAGTTCCATCATTCACTGCCGATATCCGCCATCCTTGACGCTGGGGCATCAGTAATGTAACAAACAATCAGCGTTCGGTAAGTATAGGTAGGGTTTCAACCCCGCTTGGTACTATGCTGTACAGATCAGGATCAATTTTTTCGTCCTGAAAAAGAATACATGGCGCATCCTGAGTAAATTGAACTTGCGCATTGATACATTCAACAGTTCCATGATCAGCGGTGAGGCTGGGATTTGCTTTTCAATTGAATTAGGGAAGGGCAAGTATGTAGTGGACAGATGAGTACCATCTTCTTCAACATGGTGGTCCTGGAGCGATACCCTTGTCCATTGTATGTTGTTTTTTGCAGATTCTGTCAGAAGATCAAGAAACAAAACTAATCCACTAAGTGGGCCCAGTCAGATAGGATTACCCAGGATTACAAGTGCCCCTCAGACAATGATTATTTGTCTTGTTTCTGTTCTGCACAGCGATTTATCACCATTACTTCCTCCTACAAACAAAGTTATGCGCCCACGCCTTCCTCCCACATTCTGCTACGGCGGAATGAGTCTTATGATTCGTTTTGGATCAAAATTAGTTAGGGACCCGATCTAAAATCGAAGGAACTTTACAAGGTACCACATTCGAAATGAATCAGTTTCAGATCGTTCTTGCCAGCACTTTGAGGTAACGTGGTCTAGGTAGAATGCCGTAGTTCAGATAAGAATGCGCTCGGATTTCAAATTCAAACTTCCCATGTAATCAGCTCCCCGGGTTTCGCTACCAAAACCTTTTCCTTTTTATACCCCCACAAAGCGAGGTACAGATAAAAACTTATTGAGGTAGGGAAATTCTTAGAACCGTTCGCAGCTGTATACTACGCAGTCATGAAATCCTACTCCCAGATAGGGAAGGTGGGTTACATTCTTTACTCTACAGTAGTTACTAGTATACTTTATTCTACAGTAGTCTTTACCCTACAGTAGTTCATGACTTTCAGCCATACTTATCACCACTTCACTTTATCACTTCTCTCTTCCTCCCATTCGACCCTCTCCCACCCACTTTTTTTGAAATGGACCAGGTTCAACCTCCTAATTATTAGCTTATCCTTTTCGTCTCGGTAATTTTATCTCTGAGCATAATAGCGTTGGACTTTAGATTCGATTAACATAATCATTGCTATTCACATGAGTTCATTTGCCAGGAAATATTCTATAAAGTCATCTATTCATCTTGATTGTCCCATTGCCACTTGCCATAGTTTTTGTACTTTTTCTACACGTGCTCTTTTCGCTCCGAATCTCCTCCTCTCCATAATCATGTGAGATTCTCCACCCCTCATCTGCCTGTAGCCGCAATTCGCTGAACTCTAAAGTCACGATTCGAATTCTACCTGTCCATATTAATTCAGGACCAACCCCTTCGACCAAAAAGGGTGTGCTCTTACAATTAACCATGAGTGCATTCGTATTCGTCGAAGTGTGCAGCTACATCTGTGCACCGTTTTCGGTCGCTTCAAATGCACTGCTATTGATGATCGTCCGGAACGTTACCAGTCGTCAACTGAATGCCTACAAGTTGCCCCTTGCCATGCTGGCCTTCACAGGCATCGTTCTCTCAGCAACATTCCTACTTTGTCAACCGGTAAGTTATTTTTTTTGGTGCTGTAAGCCTATTCAGGAAGACATACTCAAGATAGACATCGATCATGTTAAAAATCAATACCAATCGAAGCCACATGAGATGGGCTCAGAGAAGGAGGGGAAGGGAAACGGGGTTAAAATAATCTATTCAACTTGTTTTACGAAAATGAGGAAGGGTACAGAAGGTAAAGCTTTGAGTACAAGTTGTTAAATAAAGCTATCTAAATCAGTAAATCATGGCGGTTTATCGTCAGGAAGATCGAGGGAAGCTGGCAGACTCCTTTATTGATGTCCAACTGCCTCTCGACTTCTTTATATGATGAAATTTTGGCAAAACAGAACTTGATGTGCGAACTTGTAGTCCTTGGCTTCAATTTCTGATCATATCAGCATCTGACAAGAATAAATACATTTGTAATGCAATCAGTCTTTCCTGGAAGGTAGTGGAATGGGTGGATTTGCACGTTCCCAGGTGCATAGGCAGATATCGCCACAAAAAATGGATCACAATCAGGTTATGCTGGCAGCTTTCGGGAGCCTGCAGCTAAGTCAAAAACTTTCCATGACGTGAATCTCAAGAGATTTCTTATTGAGGAGTTTTTTACTCTAACACTTCTTCACAAAAAAAACCGTGGGAGCCAGTACTGTAACTTCAATGGAGATGATTGAAAGAAAATTTAATTTTCCAGTGCGTTCTACTGCACGAAGATGTGATCCTGATAGTATTACTGGGACCAGTGATTTTCATTCATCCAATGGTTGCATCGATTTGTTTCGTGTTCCTTCAAGCAGCACTTATCCTTTGGACAATCCAAATTGCATCACCGTTGTTTTTCAAGATGCTGGCCAGAAAGTGAGTTTTCTAAAGCTATTCACGATTCTAAATTAGTACGTAAACACAACCTCTAAAATTGAATTTGTGTACTGGGGTACTACCGGCTCGATATCCGCCTAGACAGACCAAGCCTTCCGTCCGACCGGGGTCGGTCAGTTGGTACGGAACTAGCCTGGGAGGATAAAAGTGCTGACTTGTACATCGACTGGCCCCCATAGTTCATTACATAGGCCGTATACGTATTTATTACGCCACCAAAATTCTGAATTGAAGTCGACTGCGAGGATTATCCTTCAAGAGGGATCTATTAACACCCAGAGACTTTACCATTTTCTCCGTTACTGCGGCAGGACTAGCAGGTAATTGTCCCTAAGGCTGCCACTGTTTATGCACAAGAAGAACATATAATATATCCACATAAAAAGCATTTTTATAGTTACACCTTGTAAAAAAAGGGAGAAACAAAAATAGAGCTTTCACTCATCTTCAAGAATTTGCGTAAAATTTTCTAGTCTTGATAATTCCCTAATTGGGATGCGGCACCGCATTCGACTTCCATTCACGATCTTAGGAGGTATAAATACTTATGTGGCCTAATCATGGCTTGTGGATTAAACTGATTTTCAAGGGAGGCCCTTCTCCTTCCAAAAAAATACTCCTCTAGTGCCAAAGGATCCTTCCCAGAGATTTGAAAATCCCTTGGTAAAAACAGGATCTGATCCTCGGACCGCACATAATAGCGCTCCATTTGCTATTGTATTCATTAGAATCTAATAATTGATGTCAATGAAAGTGAGTCTTTGTCGTGAGCGTTGAGAGAGGTGTTCTGATGAGAAATGATGTGACAGTAGGACCAACCATATACCATAGAAGCTTACCAAGAAACAGACCTAATGATAAATTGTTTCAGAGAAAAGGGTGCTTTCAAATGGCAAATCGGCTCAATAGTACTGGCATTGGCGGTGACATGGCTCCTTATTATTGTTCCAATTATCGTGTTCTCATTTGAATCACACGAAGAGATTCTTGAGCGTGAAGGCATCTATGAGCGTATTGTGAAGGGCCAGACTGGTTTCGACTGGGTTCCAAGCTACCTCGTCTACAAGCTGGTATGTTGCTATAGATTTTTCGCTAGGCTGGTTTACTATGTAAATTAAAATTCAAAATAAAAGCGATTTTTTTCGTTCGTCTCCCACATTCATTTAATCCATTTCAGAACGTGATTGGCAAAGTATGGTTGATCCTATTGGTGCTGATCTGTTCCGTCGGATGCATTGCTATAGCTGTTAGCGCTGTACTATCTTCAAGTTTGATGAGATTAAACGCTAAACTGTCCAAATGGGCAACCTATCCGTCTGTCGGTTTTGGACAGATCGCCAATACCGCCCGATTGAATGTGAGTTTATACTTCTACTTAATTCCACTACAAGCTCCAATGAGCTCATTCCAGGCCTGTTCGTTGACGTTGTTGGTACTGGCACCACTATGGATATTTATGATATTCGCAGTTAGTGGACAACCGACATTCAGTTACTCGATACCGTTGTTTCTCGGCTGTGCCTTTCTACCAATTTTCAACGCCTATTTCGTTCTTTTCAATATTCGGGCTTTTCGGAAAGCCATGTCGAAGATGATGTCCTTCAAAACGAAACCCATTGTCACCGTCTCCCATGTCAGCTCAGACCCTTAAAAACTGATTGATAACTTACGACTGCCAAAGAATTGCCCACAATCCAGTATTGTCGTAATAGTACCGAATAAAATCAAAAGATTTCCCGTATGGTTTACCTAACTTCACCTAAGTCAACATAGAGGGAAACTGTTTAATGTCCTCATTTTGGCTCTCTAGGTTCGAACAAGGAGAGTAGTTCTTTCATAGTTTCAGAACTATGTAGCCAGTGAAAGCAAGCGGGAGTGGGGCAAGGTCCGCCCCTTGTGCAGATACCGCCCCCAAAAATACGTGTTGAACCGTGTTGACTTAGCAATAGAGCTATGAGGATGAAACGTTCGAACTGGTCTGGAGTCGACGTTAACAACTTACTGATGTACCATTTCACCTTGATGTGCCTTGATCTGTCCGCAAACAAAGCCATCCAATGAGCCAACGTCAGAGTTCTCTATGGCAAGGGTGACAGTTGACTACTTTGAGCTCGCGCTTACTTAAATTGTGATGTTTCTTGCTCCTATGATGTTGTTTATCTTGCCGATTTATTTTTCTTTTCCGGTTGTTTATGAGCTTTCCTATACGCAGACATTTGTGTCGAATAAATAATTAAATCATGCCTGTCTTGAATGGTAGGGATTTCACCACCGTAAAGAAGGAAGGGTGACTGAAAGGCATGCCCTCCTGCAAGATAACAAGCTTGAAATCGCTGCCTGTTGTAAACGACGGCATAATAGCGTATATCCAGATTAGAGGTGACTGAAAAGAATACTGTTGTGAAAGCTCACGAAAATGAGGACGAGCCGAGAAAAACGAGACGTTACTTCAGCTTCTCCTTCAAACTTGTGAGGCCATCCTCCGATCCTTTTTCATCCCTCCTGTGACTCCTCGTCACATTTAGCCTTCTACATGTGACCTTGCGTCGACCCTCTACAAACCTAGGTTATGGTTTCCTTAATGGGCCCAACGCCAACGCCCTGTAATCGCAGAAAGCATCGCTGACTATGAGAGCATTCGAGACAATTTTTCTAGGACAGTTCTTCAAAAAAGTCTCGTATAATCTAATGATGACGATGAAATATCAATAAAAAAGCATACGTGAGTAATTTTGACGTGACCTTCCTATTATATCTATACCGAATAGGTTAAACTTTTCTGTGAATGGTCAAGCGTTCTGCGTAGTATAACTAGTGACAACTTACCATTCGTCCTATCTTACCGTCGACTGCGGTTATCACTAGCTTCTAAAAACGATCTTCTGCCTATTTTCAGCTGACATTTCCTTTTTCAAAATTCTTTTTTTCCCTGAATTTCTATTCAAGAAAAGAAACTCCCAGAAGAGTCAAAAAGAAAAAGGAAATCAATACCGATCTCGGGCAGAATTGTAGCCTCACCTTCTTACTTGTATTTCGAAAAGATTTGCTTTTCCCATCGGCCAGAGTCAGCAAAACAAAAATGTAGTTGAAAGCAAACCACTCATAGATTGATTTTTACCTAGTTTGGCTAATTATCGATTAATTTTTCGAAGTGGGTGTGATCAAGAGGGTAATAAGTTTCATGGGATGAACAACGGGCCACGATCAAAGCTAGCAAATAAGTAGCGGTGAATAAGAGGTAGTGTGTAGGTGGGTATTGTAGTGGAAGTAGTAGCTGTATTCTGTTGATTATCGACTTCCTCGAGAGGCGCCAGTAAAGTTTCCATTCGTCCCTGTACCGAGCCAGAATATTCTGGCAGAGTGTAATGGAAGTAATAGGAAAAACTGATCATCAACTTAATCACCCTGTTCTATACTACCAACCTAGTTGAAGCGTAGTATGGTGGTTGGGTATTGAAACCTGACGGCTGTCAAGGAGCTAAACTCAATGCCTCATTACTTCCTGGATTTATTTCATTTATCCATTTACTTGGCTGCATTCTGAGGTGCTGCCGATGAATATGAGAAGATAGAAGAAGGGTAGAAAGAACAAAAACAATATCAATGCATGTAAACAAGGTGAGCAAATACCTGCAAACCACTAATTACAGAGCAAAAGCTGAAAAATTTTAAGACCGGATTTTCACCTAGATCTTTCCCACAAATTACCTTACCCTCGAAGTGGACCTTAGAAATCGTTCTTATCTGAGCCATACACTGCCCGCTTTAACCAGCCACTGCAATTCTGGGCTGACGGGGCAGGGGAGAACCTCCGTTGCGCGCGTCCGTCGAAAGTAGGTCACCCCGCCCACTTCGCGCGCGGCGCACCCCTCTGACGACAGACACTACAGTACCACCAAGTGTCGGTGGAGCCAATGATTTGCATTTGTCCGTATTTTCTTCTCTTTGGCTCACTGTCGTGGACTGAGCGCAATTCATATGCCCCACTGACAACCGCGACGTTTGTCGAAGATCGCGGACTGACCCGCCGCAAGCGATGGCTGCGGCGTGACCTAGTTTCTACGGACGCGCGCACCGAAGCGCACCACGGGACAGGTGAGGTAAGCGCCAGACACCGTGCGGCCACGAGTTCGCGCACCGGAATCTAGCAAGAGACCTTTGCTAGAGGACTTTCCAGCTATGATTCGCTTCCAATATTTCTGAGAAGCACTTAGCCAGAGCATTTAGGCACAGTTTACTTTGTGCTATTTCATTGTTTTGTCATCAGACAGACAGTCCTACGCATAAAGGAAATTGGCCCTTGAAATAACTTCCTAATAGTCGTTCCTGAAAGTGTTCCTTTTCATGCATTGTTGTGTAGCTTTGTATTGTAACTAGTTGGAATACGAAATAATAGCGATGAGACTGTTCAAAGCTCTTCCGTCGAACTACCGATGCAACAATTTTACAACAATTTCGCGCAATTAGTCTCAGTTGATGAATGTTATTCCGTGGACAAGTCCTGGGACTTGCTATCGGTCAAGCGGCGTTGAGGGGATGCATGTCGCGAACTTGTCTGAGGGTTATCACAAGAAATTTCATCGGCGCATCCCCGTTCTTCATCAACTTGAGCAGAGCAAGCTTCTGAGACGTAGAAAAACACAAGAGCTATAGCGGCATGGGAAAGATGGGTACGACGAAGCTATCATGTTATCTTCAGTACTCCTTCGAATTGTCGAATGCTTTCCGCACCACTCCCTACACTACGCTTATTGGCGCATCCCTTCCTCATCAACTTGAGCAGAGCAAGCTTCTGGACCGAGCTCCTCCATCATCTTGATTGAATGCATATCAGCTCTATCCAACGTTATTGCCCTGTTAAGATTAGAGATGCTCCAATAGAGTTATTTTTTTGCTCAGCAGCAGGTTCAAAGGATGGGCCATAGCTAGACGTACCATGAGACCACTTTTCTACCGTTGACGGCAAACTCCCTATGAAATGGTAAGGTTTCGGTAAGAAGATTGCTACGGAGCTCAAAACATTCTCAACTACTATGTAGGAAGCTCTGTTCTTTGACTTCCTCTGAGATTGGTTTTTCTCTCTACATAGGTCATTCACTGCCTTTAGCTGGGATCCTGTTGTGCTCAGAAGCACTCTACCACAGTTATGGTGAAGGGACGTAATGCTGGATCAATGCCTGCCTTCTCACCCAATCCTTGCTCGGTGAATTGGCACCGAACACGTCTTAGAGGACTGAAGCGCTGACTTGACACTGGGCTGGCCAGCTGAATCACTGTAGAAGATACAAGGCAATCATACACGAAAGCGTGGGCGCATCCTGAACAAGGAATCAATCCTTGGCAAAAAAGTCTTCATCAACTTTTCGTTAACCTTCTATTCTTGGCACTTGCTTGATATAGTCAGGGTCAAGCGTTCTTTCAGATGTCGACCTCATTCTAGACGGAGTGAGAATGAATGATGCTTTTTAAAAAGTTGGAATAACGCCGGCCATTAATTTTTGTCACCATCCACGGAGCCGACCGACCCGTCTTGAACCACTAATTGTTACATAGAGTAGTAGATAATAGAGGTTCAAAAATGAAAGTTACCTCTCAAACGTGAACCCTTCCCCTCTGAGGACGAGTTTTTGATTCTAACTATGAGCCTTATTATAATCCAGTCATATTTGTGTAGTCCTGTAAATAATATCCGTAAATAAAGGTATGGTGAGCTGTTCGATGTGTATTTTGGTGTTTTAAACCTTCTAGGAAATCACCAAGGCACCACGTAGTCCGCAGATCATGCCATTCAACTACTGGGGAATGCTATGCAGACCCTGAAAAAGGATGATTGGAATGACTCGTTCATTGCTGATGGTGGGCCTAGTGTCTTGGTGGCTTACACTGCCATCTGGGGTTAGTCGTCTGTGCTTTCCAAAGTAAAAGTGCAGGGAAGAATGATATATTATTTACATGTATAGAAAGACCAAAAAAGAATAAAGGCTTTTGACGTTGATCCATCCGCTGTAGTATGCGCCCCGCGTCCGACATTCATTCTGAATCGTAGCCGCCTTTGAATGCGTATGCGACCTATATAATAATTGGATTGACCGATCTCGTTCAGAAATCAGAGTTTTTAGTTTCCCAGACGTTTCTGGTACTAGTTATTCGACACGGGAAGGAAGTATAAGTAAAAAGGGCCGGAGAGAAGGTTTGAAGAGAGAGATCAGATCGCTATGGAACGAAGTAACGGTGATGACGATTACTGACGAATCGAAATAAAAAAGAAACTTCGGTTTTATATGAGAGGAGAATCGACCCTAATTGAATCAGTTCTCTTCATACTTCAGTTAACGATCTATTAAAAAGTGAATCTTGAATATCTAATCAAGTACTGAAAGGGTTTTCAAAAATAACGGTTGGAACGATTCATGCTAGCAAGTAAATGTGGTTTCATTCGTGGAATATCAAATGAGGTATGAAAACGCCTATTCAAAACCTTGGTGAAATTGGTGCAGGATTAAGTGCCTACACTATAACACCGAATCGCATCGCAGTGGTCCTGGAATCAACTCGCGAAAAGTTACCCACCCAGACCAATCAAGGCTATTTCTACGTCTGGATCCGAACGATTGGTACCAGACTGGTCTGGGAGGATAAAAACACAGACTGGCACATCGGCTTGCCATTCGAAAAGTCACTAAGCATTGGGACCGCCGCTATGATTCTGAATGAAAGTGGAATGCGGGATCACGCTCCAAAAACGGGGTTGATTGAAGTCAAGGAACTTTTATATGTAGGCTTCAACTGAGCAATGACGTCCAGCCTTTCCGGACTATTGCTTGCCCTTAATATAGAACGGGGCTTAGGCATCATTTTGTGCGCGATTGTGCTAGGCAACTGCATCAGGCACTATTTCCTATGCTTTCCGAGGAATTAGGGCATTTTGTGAATATTTCTGTGACTGTAAAAATGTCTGATGTGAAGTTTTGTTAGAGCATGATAATTTACTACAAAGCGTAAAAAGCTTTTAGAATGGTGGGACAGATTGAGAGCGCAATTGCCACTGTAAATTTGTACCAATTTCCTGCTGGGGAAGTTCTTGACAATTTGGGAACAACTTTGCCAATCCTTTCACAAACACACGAGTGAAGTGTAAAAATATATATAGCTTACTGATGTAGTCAAATGCTATTGATAACAAGCAGTACAGATGAGTAAGGTAAGCCGTAAGTCAAAGAGAATGTGAGTACAGGAAAATAGATGCAGAAAAATATAAGGAACTGAAGGAATAAAAGAACACAAAACTATTGTAGTAGTGCTTAGTAGTATAGTAGAACTCAAGGGCACCATTCTTGATTAATTCGAAGTATCCTTTCTGATAGAAAAGCATAAATTTTGGTGGAAAATTCGAATTCTTGAAATCTGAATGTTCCTGAGAACCGTTAAAGTAGGGCGTTGTACAGCACTACCATGACGAAAACTGCATAAAAAGATACCTGGCTGAGGAGCAGTCGTTGCAAACGCTCAAAAAGCTGGCTACAGCTTGGCAAAGACTCAGAACAGCCTTACTTTGTCATGAGTCACACGACTAATCACTCAGATTCCCATGTTCTCCGTGTTAATGAAGCAGCGTCAATGGCGCCGTGGAAACTCGTCCTTCTTCAGATGCGGGTATCGAAAATGGTCTTTGGGTAATTATAACGTCCATTCTAGGCGTTTTCCGACTTGACAGCGACCTATAGGCAGTGTTTGGAGCCCATAGATTCATCACACTAGAAAATCTCGGGTACCGTTTTCATTAATAACTGTCTTCAATGTCAATCGAGTTTCCCAAACTAGGCATCATATTCGACCGCCAATTGAAATCATTCAGCCATTTTGTCGAACGCTGAGCCAAACGAACAACACACCGTGACCAAAAACCCGTCAAATCATTTCATTTCACCGGGCAAATTCAGCAGTAATTCGAGAGTCCTAGGGTTGGCTAGAATTCGAATCTTGATGTAGGCCATGAATCAAGAATTCCACATTACTCACAAGCGTCCTGGTTCCAAATTACGAAAAATTGAAAGAAAAATGTCTTGGGGTCGCATCAAACCCTGTCTACGGCAAGTCCTAGCTAGATGACTCGCCGCACAGTGGATCCTATATAGTTGTCGCGCTACTCAAACATCAAGAATATGGCTTTCAACTCAGTATAAAACCTTTCCGAGTTTGGTCTTCCACAAAAAAGGATTCCTTAATTTTCTCGTTTCTTGTTGTTTCAACAGTCTATGCAGCCACGTCCGCGACAGTTCCCCTTCAAATGGACGGACTCTCACTCTGCATTTGCACAGCCGTCTCAGAGAACAGTTCATACTCAATTTTTAATGGTCACATTTGGAAAATCGTAATAAATAGTTAAAGTACAGGGACATATGATAAATAATAAAATGCAACCATTCGAAGTGTGATAAGACGAACAGATTGTTATAATGAATATGGATGCATCGACCCGAAATAGGATATAAAGCATAGATCTTCTATATGAAGTGAATCGATTGCAACTATCACAAAATGAACAAAAAAACTTTCCTTTCTGACATACATATAGAACTTGATCACTCACAAAAAAAAAACAAAATAACTGAATTAAATTACCACCGTAAAACGTGAAACACTGTAAAAATCAATTAGCTATCACTTGAACTATCAAAAAAGACGATAGGAGAAATTCGCAGCCAACTTGTGATTCTAAACTCCTTTTCAGACAATTGTGGCAGTTTTCGGAGCCGATGACTGGTTTGACTGATTTTTGTAGTAATCCAGAAGCGCTTCCATATGTGCATCAGAATGAGCAGGCAGCTTTCCAACAGATGCTGACCCCGGTATGTTACGGCCCATTTGCTGACCACGCGTCACATAAGGAGCATGCGGTGGGCGATTGACGACAGGTTGAAAGCGAGGTAGATCCGACGACGAATACGGCTTCCTAAACGGCTAGCTTAGTCAGAGAGCTGTGGTAGGGAAGGAATTAGTTTAAAGAGAACGTTTCTTAAGATGGAATGATAAATTGGTGAAGCCAGCGAGTCCTACATTCATCCCTTCCAAACTGAGTAACTACTTAGTGCTGACTCATCCGGATTCAAAGAAAATCTCGTTACACACCGAAAGTACGATCTGACCAATAAGTTGCTCTAACAATAAGAAAAAAAAAGAAAGTAGGCTAAGCGAAATCCCTAGGAGCCAGGACCGCAGTTTTGACGAATGATGCGACGAACGTTGCGAGTTGCGACAGGACAGAGGAGCAAGGACGGTGCTATAAGAAGAGGCGAATCGGGAAAGGCTGAATCAAGTTGCTGATGGCCAAAGGGGACCCGTCACATCTTGACCCTGGTTTCATGGATAAGAAATCTTTTTTCCCAAGAAAGTGTTTATTGGAAAAGTTTATTCTTCAATACCCAGTCACCTCCCCCGTCCTCAACCCGCTACAGAACAAACCGAGCATAAGAGTGCAGCAAGGTAGGCGCTGAAGTGGGCTTTGTAAATACAAACCTATCAAAATTCCCATTCACTGGATTGCAAACAGGGAAGGTCGTGATTCGATGTGCTGCTGGTGAATGCCCTCGGGAAGGAGATAGCGAATATGGTTGCGATTCACGACGTGACGGTGTTATGCCACCATTTGCTGCTTGTGGAGAAGATCTGAACGAGCTTGCATATTTTTATAACTCGACCTCGACCAATCGACACTAAACCTGATGCTAGTACTCACCTCTGAACGATAATCCTTCGATCTAAGCTGGCGGTGGAGAATCCTGCCTGGCACGAGAAGCTTGTCGGAATACGTCGCAACGGTTCAGGATGTTCAATCGTCGGGGTGATGTCATCATCTTCAGGGATGTTAGTCTGAAGAAAACGATCCAGAATTCCCGGATTGGAAGCCATTACCAACACTGAGAAGCCGTCAACTTCCCTCTCGCTTACTTTTGCTTCCTGCTTGAACTGAAATGACGCATTTTCCAATCGAATATTGTAACAAGCGCTGTTGGGCACGTCAGTTTGTGAGATGGAATGAGCCGATAATGCCCTCTTTCGCAGATGTTGTTCATCCTGCAAAAAGCAAAATCGTCTATTTTTCATTCCGAAGCCGTGGGTGCACCTTGAGAGGTAAATATACCTGGAGTGTTGGATAATGTGCTTGCCGATAACTGCTTCGATACGAAGTCGATCGATAACCGATGTTTTCATATCTGAAAGTACAACGAGTTGAATCCACGATGCCACTCTTGAAAAATTTTTTCGGAAAAACCACTTTCGATCAGAAAAATATTTTCATCTCAGTAGAACTCAAGGCTTCCCCCAATGGGAAAAAATGAACAACAAAGGTTTGTCGAAGGTTTGAAGGCCGAATTTCAGTTTCCGGCACCCTCTGCAGAGAGGAATTTATGTAGAAACCCCTCCACAAGGCCGGAAAAACAACTACCGAACCTGAAGGGCCCCAGATCCGAAGCAAGATTACGATGTTTTTCGACTTTTGGCGTGAAGCGCCGACCGAAGAAACTCTGAGCTGTCAGCAAAATCTTGTTTCCTTTTCACCTTATCTCCGAATGATAAGCGTACCCTGACCGGAAACACGCTCACTTACGCAGCCGACAAAATATTTCACTTCGTTTCGTGTGCACAGTCGAGCGTGAACAGAATCAGGCGAAGCAATTTAGGCAACAGGCACTAAGCCAAAAGTGAAAAATTAAGAAAAAAATAGAACTTAGAAAACCCACAGTTCGTGAGTGCAATGAAGCCTAAGATCGAGCGCGAATAAAAAAACTCAAATTAGCTCCAGGGTAGGGTCAAAAAGGGTTAGTGGGCAGTAAGAAGCACTGAAGGAGAAATTCAGGATCCAATCTTACGCAAAAGTAAATTAAAAGTACCCTTCATTCAAATTCAGTCTCCCGGATCAACGTTTGGCTCGAAACATTCCATATTTGGAGGCAAGACTAGGCAATTCACTTACTGTGGGTCACTCTACATAGTTTGATAGATGGGAATGTTGATTAGTTGAGTACGTCTGGTGCTCATAGGGTAACCCTCAGGGTTAGGGTTAGCTCCCTTGACCTACCCTGGTTTTCAACTTGTCAATACAACAGCCATAGTAGCTAAAAAGAAGCTTAACTCATCGAAGGATTCCCATTTAAGCATGCCTTCACACTCCAATGTTTGATAAATATTTGACCCTACCGTGGTACCATCCTAGCACCTTGGTATCTTATACTCCTTCTACCTCATTCCCTTCCTGAACAAAAAAGTCTGTCACACGGGAAGTGCTAGAATCAAGCCTCTTACTTTGTAGCCCAGTCAGTAATTGTGTAATCCTCGTCCAATTGTCATAATAGGCATGCAGAGGTGTGTCATAATCAACAGGAGCTAGCGGAGTTAGATAATAAGCAGCTCTTACTCGCTGTGATCAACGGGTAAGTCGAGAAAAACGTTAACTTCAACACTGTGATGTTGAATTTTAAGCTGCACCTAGCAAATTATTAATAATGAAAGCTGATAGATAAGAATAGAACAAAATCTTACACAGGAGTTTGTTCTATAGAGGGTTGAGCGTTGATTAGAGGGTTATCGAGTTCATCACTGGTTATGGATCGAGTTGCATTACTACGACGTGAATTCGCTCTCGGTGGAAGGCCAATCGAACCATTACTGGACGTTGAAGCCTCCGAGAAACGTTGATGTAACGAACGTCGAGAAGCCGAGCTTAACAACAAATTAGTGAGAAGAAGGGATAAATTAGAAGAAGGGGGTTGTAGGGGTGGAAAAGCAACAAAAACAGCATGCATTGAGCCGATACGTAAACAAATGGTAAACAGTTATTATAAGGCTTACCTAGTTTGCCTCTGTTGGACTTGCTCATCATCTTCATAGTCGCTTTTTTCACCGTCCGTGCAGAGATCGGGTACAGAGCCACGTGGTGTAGTTGGACAGGACTTTGCCACTGCTCTCGTCAGCGTGGTACCATTATTCTGCTGAGGGAACGCCGACCATGAACCTAAAAATTTGACAGTACTTGTTTCGGGTCATCACGGGCATGTTCCCAGTAGTGGCTTGATCAAAAAACCCCAGCATATCAGCTTCTTTTTCTGCTGTTCGATTATATATATAGATATTTTTTTGTTATTTTCTATTTTTTTTATTTTTATCTGTAGCCCACCTTGAAATTTGAACTGAATTGAAATAAAGCAAAGCGCAAACATGAAAGACAGGCACTACATCAAAATGAAGGCTTAGAAATGTAAAGTGAAAGTGCTCATTCAAAACTTCAAAAGTCAAAATTGAAGCTCCAATTTTTGCAGAATCCCTACCTCCACTTCCATTACTCTCCACAGAACTGACATCCGGTTTACTGGCGCTCAAACGCATTTGATTTAATCCCAACTCGAGCCCACGCAATTTCATTGCTGCTGCTGCCAAATCCTGAACATGGAAATATGGGGTTCAGAATTATGATAGGGTATCAAAATGATGTCATGTATACAAAAAAAAAATCATAAAAAAGGAGGAAAGGGGACCAGAAATGATAATGACCGTACGAATGTACATTTACGAATTCTGACCTTTTGTCTTTTCTTTCTAACGCTCTTATTCATTGTTTTGTCTTTCGCAAGTCGTTCAGCGGCAGCAACAATTCGTTTGTGTAGCTCGACATCAGTCTCCAACTGACTCAGCTTATCGGCCTAGAATTTACACAATACATTCTGCTCTTTGGTTACCATCACGTACTTGACACATGACAACTGACATTCTACCGTATAACAACATAATATTTTACCCAAACTATGACTCAAGATGTCTTCTTTTTCTACAAACAACATGTTTCATAGCTAAGACAAGCTATTTTTTCGAACCACCTGCTGACATCCGCCTACTTCCAGATGTCGACGCCCTTCCTCCGGTTAACCTTTGAGACGTGAAGAGCGAAGGAAATCAATTCCTATCTATTAACACTACCATTACCACACTTTTGAATCCAGTACCACTTGAGTGTTCCACAGGAGCGAACTAACATGGATCCAACCTATAGATTTACCT